GGGACTCCCACATCAAACTTATTATCAAAAAGATACAGATAATTTTACATAGATTTAAATACCTCAAAAAAATATTACCGATTCAACACCTAAAAATTCTTTATTTCGCACTAGTGGGAAGCCATCTTCGCTATGGAATACTAAGATGGGGAGCAGCTGCAAAAACATACATTCATCTCTTGAAAATCAGTCAAAAACGGTTTCTCAAACTCATTTTTTCAAAAGATCGACGGTACGACTCAGATCAGTTGTATCTAGAAACAAAAATCATGGACATCAGACAACTATACTTTTTCCTCAGCACACTCACGAAATATCATACCACAAAGCATACCTCACAAATAGCAAATACCATACACGAAATCGAAATCAACACATAGTACCCCATATGAGGAAAACATCTACCCAACGTTCTTTCGATTATCTGGCACCGAAATTTTATAATGCACTACCTGGACGGCTTAAAGGAATTGTATATCGTCCACAATTCAAAAAGGCCCTGAAGAGTTTCATTCTTGAAAATCCAAGACAACTAGCTCATCAACATTTTGATGATCTAGTTGGCTAAAGAAATATATTCCTGATGGAATATAAATGTGTACGGCTCAACTGCTCACCTCAATAATGCTATCATTATGGTAGTATAGTAGTCACAGTATTATAAATATTTATAGTATTGATTCTAGTATTTCTGAAGTTTTTTTCTCTTGATTGTTTGTTTATGTCCTTTTAGTTAGGTTCTTTCAATTATCGCTATTTTAACTTGTAATGAAACGTATTTTAATTTTAATTGCCAATTTCTCATGGATATTTTCATGGACATTTTCTGCGAAACAAGTGCGATGGCACTTATCGCTCAACAGCTTTATTCATTCACTAATTATATATTTATTTATTATTATCATATCATTATTATTATTATTATATTTATTATTCATATATTTAGTTGAATGAAGGTTATTATTATTATTATTATTATTATCATTATTATTATTATTATATGCTGGTTGCTCCAAAAAGTCAAGAATGAATTATAATATCATGGCTTCCCCATTTTATGTTTGATCTCTTATTTTATTCAATGACAGAATTGAGTCCGGTCTTTTTGATAAATTGATTATAATTGGTGACTTGACAACCTTGCCTCATGAGTGGAAACGAAAGATTATCTAAATTGAATGCCAATAATTCATTATCAGTCCATTCGCCCATTATGAATAACTTTTACTGGACTTCCAAATGACATATTGACTCTTTTTTTCATTTACAAGCGAGCATTTTATTCATGTTGAACCACGTTGTTTGTGTCATCAGATGATGCAATACATTTACAAGTACAATTTGATATCTAGCAAGCAATATGGATTCAGGCAAGGTTTATCAACAAACGACGCGATAGCTGCTCTAACAAGCGAAATATATGAACATGTAGATAACAGACGGCCAGCAATATGTGTGTTCCTAGATCTAACCAAAGCGTTTGATACTGTGGACCATACCCAGTTATTAGAGGTCCTAAGTTGCTCTGGTATAAGAGGTAATTCAGGTAATCCACAAAAACTATTGAAAAGCTACTTGAATGGCAGGCAGCAGGCTGTAAAAATCAATAATGTTCTAAGCTCAGAAGCAGAAATAAGTTATGGCATACCGCAAGGTACTGTTATTGGTCCTCTATTATTTTCCATTTACAAAGACAGTCTACTCACCATGACTTGCGATGGTTCCATCATAAGCCTCGCTGATAACACGGCCATACTATTTACAGCCGAAGACTGGGACAGCCAGAAAATAAGAGTGGAGGATCAAATTAACATACTTGAAGACTGGTTTGATCACAAATCACTAACAATTAATTTCGTGAAAACGCACTTTTTGTCTTTTGCAAGCTATGAAAACCGGTTGCCAAATTTTGACGAATTACTAATTAACAATCACGGAAAAATCATGAAAATCACTAGAGCAAGCCATATCAAGTATCTAGAAGTCACCATAGATCCTCATCTGATATGGGATATACATATTAGCCATGTCTCGAAAACACTCAGATATATGTTATATAAATTCAAATATTTGAGGTATATTCTCGACGCAACTCACCTCAAAACGATATACTATGCTTTAGTACAATCTCGACTGCAATATGCCATCCTCAGTTGGGATGGTTTACTTGATGCTCACCTAAAAAAATGGAAATATTGCAGAAAAAAATTCTCAGAATAATGTACTATAAAAAAAGAGATTATCCGTCGAACTGTATATTCAGAGATGCACTAGTACTTGATATACGACAATTATATATGTATAACATTATACTATACATTTACAAAAATAAAAATATCCTCCAAAATTTTGAATATAATCACAACACCAGGAATAAATCTAAGGGTAACGTACAAGTCACTATAACAAAAAAAAACATTGGACAGCACACATGCTAAGGTAATTTAGCAGTAAAGTTTTCAACTACTTACCTGAAATGTACAAGATGTATATACGTACAAAAAACAATGTTAACCTTATGAAGAGAATTTTTAAAAGGTATATGCTTTACCTAAATAGGGATATTGTCCATAATATAATTACAAATAATAACGCATGGCCGAAGCATCACAATACATTGTTTTTTTTTGTTTTATACTTCCATACTTATTTCTATATTTCTGAATATTTTTAAGAAATTCTTTTATTGTAATGATTTTATAGATTCACTTAGTATATATATATGAAGATTTCAAAGATTAGCTCATTAGGTATTTAGTATTAAGTTTTAATATCCTAGTCACTCTCTAATGAATAATTTGTAATTTCATAACCAACTAACATGCACACGACTAGATGAACAAGGGCCAGATGCAATAGATGTTGCATTTTAGTAAGTTTACATGTTGCGTGTCATCAACAAAAGATCACCCACGCACCACTTCGGTTTAAGTGGGATTCTTCATGTTTGTTTGTAAGATATTGTCTACTGATTTTTGTATCGCCTTGTAAACTGACATTTACAGAATAAACATTATTATTATTATTATTATTATTATTATTATTATTATTATTATTATTTGTTTTCGTGACATTCTGATCTCTGTGAGAGTACAGTAATGCAGTATCATCCGCAAATGTATATATTCCCCCTATACAGGCTGATTTTAAAATGAGTGCATATATTCAAGACATATATATGAGAGAGTCTAACAAAAATTACAAAAATATTTGATTTTTCCTAAGTCTTCACATTAACGAGAAATTTCATTTTGAAAATTGAACATAAAATGCTTCGAAATTCGAGTACGCCACTGGGAAGCAAGTGAAATCTGCGGAATCCTAGGGAATCCACAATTCGTCATTCACTAAAGTCAAAACAAGACAGTGATGCCAGATTGTTTCAGAGACGAATATCCTGGTAAAAATTTGTCACAGAATGAACATGAATTGAAATATGTTATGGAAACTAATAGAGGTGAATGTAATATGTACAGGAGCCTTATTTTTTAAAGTTTACTGAGAGAACTGTGGGGTGATTATCTCCATGGATCACGAGAGACGGAGAGAAACATGAGGGGAATGATAGAACGTCCCCCTTCCTTCAATTCGAAAATAAGGCCCCAGCGGGTAGATACAAAATTAGCAGACAATAAATAGGTACACAACATACACAAAGTTGAAAATCGACTCACCTAGTAAATTTTCTCATACCTGCTCGAACAGCAAAACTCCCGAGAGCAAACAAATACTAATATCGAGTCCATTCCATCCAATTATTTTATTTTTTATTTTACGTTCACAATTATTTCACAAACCAGCCGACAAAAACAAAACTATTATCATATGATCTGTCAACATCATTTCTCAAAACAGCAGTATCTGACTATCTGTGACCATAGATTTCCTCTTTGCTGTGACCTTTGACAGTACCTCAGACGAATAAATTATTCGTCTGAGGACAGTACTAACTAGGATTGTTCGCGTTCTATTACTATTTCACGAAGATTGTTACGATATTACGATTTGTCATGAATCTATTACTATTTGCTATTAGCACCAAAATATGTTCCAATTTCCAATACTAAAAAATCTATTTCTGTGCTCAGCGGATAATTATATGTTCCGTTCTATGTTCTATATTTATGTCAAAACTGTGATTAGTGCGATAGGGTTTGACAAGAATGACATTCCGAATGTCAAATGTCAGATTTTTCGAGTCTATTACCTTTTGATACAAATCTGATACCTTTTTCCAAGGAAATCTATTACGAAAAAATCAGACCCAGGAACAACACTGAGTAAACTAGTAAATGTAAAGTTTTGTTTCTGACAATTTGCTTGGAAAGTGACGATGCATTTCTCAAACATTGAGCTGAATGATATGGTTCTTATGTCGGGTCGTTATTGTGCGGGGCCCATGAGACTCCTCGAATGACACGAAATTGTAGCGATGCAAGGAGGTGGAAGGAAGGGTCTAAAGGATTTTTCAGTAAAAGAACTTCCAAGGGGAAGTGTTAAAATATACGCTTTTCTAGCTTATGTGTACAAATCTTGGGTGAGTCCATTTTGAAGTTTTTGTATTATCTTTCTGAAATTCAAGACCAGGGTTAACTTCTTCCCCACGTACATTTTCTCGATTATACATTTTATTTAATATCTCCTGATTGTCATGTAGAGTGGCAACGTCGCTTCGTTCATCACGGTCGACTGCGGATCGCAAACGATAGTTGTGACAGAAGTTGAAATCTGGGCGGAAAAAGGGTATTTTGCCCCAAATCTATTTTGATCCTAATAATATTTTTAATAGTGCTATTCGATAGTATACCTCAAGCTTTCTTAGTGTTTAAAATATATGCACTTATTTTAAAATCAGCCTGTATAATATATCGCAGACTCGCAGAGATCATTTATGTGGATAAGAAATAAAATTGGTCCTAGTTCCTCCATAGCAGATTCTAGGGAGATCCTTTGGTGCGATCTAAAAGGTATAAAATCATATCTCTCATCCATCTGTATCTGTGCCCTTATGTCAATATGACAGTATAGGAATCCTTTGAGTTACATCACATTTTTCAATATTTTTTCATATGAGTGATCCTTTTTGAAGAGAAAGTTACAGTCTATTCTCTTTTTCAGAATAATGGCTAAGTCAACGTACGACTTCAACGACAAACTATCGTTCTTGGCGGAATGGTTCGACTGCGAGACCTCATACCACAAGAAATTCATCCTCAACTTCTACCCTAGCGACAATTCCCTGGACCTTTTCGACAGGGACACTAACAAAATGTATTTGAAACGCACCAGAATGGACGATTTCGTTTTTGATGACATGTTTGTTGGAAACACAGTAAGAATCTATGGCAGACAAGTCAAAATCACAGACTATGCTGACTGCCGTACACAGAAATATATCGGTAAAGCCAAAGAACGCACCTTGGTCATCTTGAAGCCTGACGTCGTCGATAAACTCGGAGAAATAATCTGTCGTATTCAAAACAACAACTTCCAAATATCTAGAATGCGCATGTGTCTCCTCAACAGGAAGGAAGCTTTGGAGTTCTATCAGGATCGCAAGGGAGAAACATCGCTACCATTCCTACTGGAAAATGTCGTGTCTGGTCCCATTGTCGCTATGGAGTTGGTCGGAGAAAACGCCATACAACGATGGCATGACCTTGTCAATCCTCGTGATCCTAATGAAGCAGAAGACACGTCATCACCTAATAGTCTCAGGGTTTTCCGCACCAAAAACAGCCACATAACAAGTGATTTTCATGGATCCAAGGACACCGCACGTGCCATCTCGGAGGCTTACTTCTTCTTTCCTGAGGGCAACAACAGAATCCCCGAATCAACTGTCCAACTGGAAAATACCACTTGTTGCGTTATAAAACCCCACGCAATCCACGAAGGAAAACTGGGTCATATAATTTCTGCTATTACCGATTGTCACTTCAAAATCACTGCTGCACAGATGTTTTATCTGAGTAACACTAATGCTGATGAGTTCCTAGAAGTTTACAAAGGAGTTGTGAGCGATTATAATGCTCTTTTGCTCAGTTTTCTGGACGGACCTTGCGTTGCCCTGGAAATTGGCGGGAAAAATACCGACATGAACGTCCATGAAGAGTTCCGGAAGTTTACTGGGCCTTCTGATTCCGAAATTGCCAGGCAGATACGACCGAATAGTTTGAGGGCAAAGTTTGGGTGTAATAAGTATAGGAACGCTGTACACTGCACCGATTTACCGGAAGACACGAATCTTGAATTAGAATATTTCTTCAAAGTACTCAAAGAGTGAAGGCACCGATGTTTATTTATATGTATGTATTTGAATTTGGATTTAGCACAAAATAATTTTCGTATAAAATACAGTCGATTCAACTACTCGAATCAGATATTCCTTTTTCTACAGAATGTTCTTTCAGACGAATCACTTTTGTTAGAGGCAGTATCGTCTGATTCTATGTCTGTCCAAGATAAGGTTGAACAGCATGGGGATCTCGGAAACGGTAGGAGATACGAAGTCGCTTAAATGGGGAAAAAGTTGCGCATTCGGAGGCTCATATCAAGAGCCTTCGGAAATTTTGAAAATTATTTTTAGTTTTTGAGTTATATCGAAAAAAGTGAATTTTTGGAATTTCTATTTTATTTTTTTTCTCCGTTATTATCAGAGATACAGAGAAACTGAAAATACTTTTCCATTGCAACTTTTGATGAGGTTTAACGTGGTGATACCGATTTTTTCATGCGACGTTTCGTATTCGTGGAACCATCATCAACTTTTGTTTTTTAAATACGGTCCTGATAATTTTTTCACAGATTCTGAAAGGTTTTTTATTCTGAATTCAACAATGTACTATACAAGGTGATTAGAATGTGTTTCGACCTATTTCTATCCATCATCAATGTTTTTTCGAACTTCCAAAAGAAAAAAAGCCATCAGTTCCACTTATTTCTCATCATTTAGTGTCAAACTTGATGGATTAGTTATTCAATACTGAAAAGTGAATAAAAAATATTTCACTACATCATTCGATCAATGCAGCGTTTAAAATTGTTGATGAATTCTTACACGAATTACTTTAACAACTTAACTTTGACAATACCTACAGAGACATTCATAACAAATGTTCAAAATGATAACCATTATTTTCTGAACAAAGATATCCTCTTCTCACAGTTGTTTCAAGACATTGCTAAGCATTTCTGGGGTTATTCTATTGAATGCTTCGAAGACACTTTCCCTTAGTTCTTCTTCATCCTCAAAGTTATTTGCGTGTACAAAGTTCGATATATCCCCTAAGAAAAAATCCAGCTATGTTAAATCAGGCGACCGCGCCGGCCAAGGGATAAAAACGCACGGACTTCTCTGGAATTATGTACCGGAGCGCCATCTTGTTGAAACCAACAGAGTTCTGAACTTCCGCAATCGGTAAATCATCCAGAGCTTCCTCAAGATGATTCTCAAGCGAATTTCTATAACGTTCGGAAGTCTGTGTTTCATGGTAAATAGAAGGTACAATAATTCGTGTACCAAATATTGCAACCCACATATTAAAGCCGAAACGGTGTTGGTGTCTCGCTGTAATGTATAAATGTTCATTTTCTCGTGAACAATAATGTGTATTTTTTCTATCGAAGCTACCATGATTAGTGACCATGCTTTCATCAGTCCAGATGATTGTTCGAAAGAAATCTGCAAAATTTTAACATTTCCTGGTATACCACTCACAGGATGTCTTGCGCCTTTCGTCATCTCCTGGTTTTAGCGCTTGACATATTCTGAATTCCGCAAAATGAAATGGGTTGTTGATTGAAACCAGTTGATGAGGTATTAGTGTGTTGACTAATTTTCCTTCAAAATAAGTGGAACTGATGGCATTTTTCCTTTGGAGTTTCGAAAAAACATTGATGATGGATGGAAATAGGTCGAAACACAAAGGAACCACCTTGTATAATACATGGTTGAATTCAGAATAAAAAAACCTTTTAGAATCTGTGAAGAAATTATCAGGACCGTATTTAAAAAACAAAAGTTGATGATGGTTCCACGAATACGAAACGTCGCATGAAAAAATCGGTATCACCACGTTGACCGTCATCAAAAGTTGCTATGAAAAAGTATTCTCAATTTTGCTGTATCTCTAATAATAACGGAGAAAAAAATAAAATAGAAATTCCAAAAATTCACTTTTTTCGATATACCTCGAAAACTAAAAATAATTTTCAAAATTTTCGAAGGCTCTTGATATGAGCCTCCGAATGCGCAACTTTTTCCCCATTTAACCGATTCCGTATCTCTTACCGTTTTCGAGATCCCCATGCTGTTCAACCTTATCTTGGACAGACTGTATATAGATATAGCTATTGATTAAGTGAGTTACTTTGGCATCAACATAGTCCCTACTTTATATCAATGACCTTGAGCCCGATTCTAGCGTCGAACAAAATTTATTATTCATCTCTTGGAGTGCACGAAAGGAAATTCCTTTGATGCCACACTCACTAATACTTTGACTTGGTTGAAACACCGTAGAAAAATCGGCACCTTTCACTTGTTTCTAGATACTTCCGCGTGAAATGCTCAGAATGCTCGGAAATCTCTGCTATCATTTCATCACAACCAATACCAGTCAGACGAACTCCACAGAATCAGTCAGCACATCTTTTAGCTGTCAACCTTGAAATATGTCGAACAACACTTTACCAAAACTCGTTCGTCTATAGAACGGCGAAGGTTTGATATTCTTCGAAAGACCCTATATTATTTTTTGGTCTCCTCGTTGTTGGTTGTTGTCATCGTTAAATCTTGAGTGCGTACCTCTACTTCTTGACACTTCCTTGATGCACCTTCTAGCACAGGATTCACAATAAAGTAAATATGTGATTGTTGCTCATACTTCTTACAATTGGGTATCTTTGATTGTTTATCAACTTGAAACAATTTAGGAGAGACCGGAAGCGCACAACGTGTTTTTTGTGTCTTATTTGTTCACACTCAGCAGTATAAGAACCCCTGAAATTCCATCTTCTACTACACGGATTGCAGATTGAGCTCGCCGAAAAAAAATCGTGATGGTCCAAAGGGTGGGGGCCGCATGGCTGAAGTTGTATCGAATCATTACTTACCGTTTCACGTATGCCGCAAGTTGCCATAATTGGAAACAAAATTTCGCGGACAACATTGCCGAACGTGTAGAGCGGATACGATGCCCAGGCGCTGTATATTGTTGCATAGATATTGTTGTAAACAATTTTTACTTAAAAGTTAAAACATTTGTTAATGTTCGGCAGTTTCTAAATGTAACTAATTATATTCAAAAAAACTGAAGTTAATATAATCGCTGTATCGCTGAACAATTTGATTTTTTGTCTTCAGGATATATGTAGAGTACCTATGTCTTTATCATACATTGATGTTCGGCATTGATTCTATTTTATTTACATATGTAGGTAATACCTCAAGTGATACTATATGGTGCCGGAAACATTCGACGTTCCATATAGAAATTCTAAAAATTTGAACAATATATATATAGATATTCTTAAGGTGTTATATCTGAAAAAATTGTTGCGCACGTCATTACTCGAACCTTTATCAACCGATCAACCCGTAAAGTTGCCTATTCTCGAATAAATAAATGTATTCCATAATTTTGCTCATCGCTGTTGTATACTAGCTCACATCATGATTCTGGCAAAATTTTTCATCATGATATTTCTTCCTTGTGGCAATAATTGCTACGCTGTTGTTTATATTGAGTTCATTGCCTACGCTACGCCTGTCGGCCACACGCTCGGGCAGAAACATTTTAAATCTAGGCAACCATGAATACAACAATATTTTTGGTAAGGCAACGTAACGCTGTTGGATAATAAATAAATGATGATAAATGATATAAGCTCTCATTTGAGCCATATTTTGATTAAATAACTTATATGAGTGGCTAACTTACCTGTTTATAACCTGGCAACTCCATAACTGAGCATTGGAAAATGTAGTCAAAAGTTATACTCTATGTAAAAAATGATATTCTCTCTAAAAGTTGAGGGTGCTCCTCTGAAATTTCGAGAAAATGATCAGTTGTCGCAATAAAGCATCACTTTCGACGAATTCAAAAGATCGAAATTTTGATCTACGATAAAAAGAACATAAAAAATTTGTGGACTTTTAACGAAAAACACGCATGGAGAATTCAATCTACAACATTTTTGAAGGCTTTTGAAATTTGACTACGTCCTGTATGACGAATATCAATTTATCATACATCCAAAAACATTCTATAAGTGTTTATATATTATTATAACTCAGTGGTTCATTGGTTGCGACACCTTTCAGATTTATCAAATATTGAAAATAAGGTTTAATCAAAACTGCAAAGAATAACGTAGAAACAGAATGTATTTCAATATTCAAAACCTCCTTGTACAATATTTAGCTCATTCAAAATGCTTTCTGGCATCTGGATTTGTAGTAATAATGATGTAGTAGGTGATGATATGTTCGATTCTTCACATTCGTCCGAAAACCTGAATGTTGTATTCCAAGCCATGACTTGATCCAGATTTCATTTTCAACGTGACGAAATGTTGATTGATCCCTCCGGCGGTGATGGAAACCGTAGATCCTTTGGACTGTTCTTTTTGACTCAATGCAATAATACAGATGATTCTTTCATTACCATGCCATGATGACTGAAACACGCGTACATGCTTTATTTTCTAAATTAGCTGGTTGAGTATAATAAACAACTAGTTATGTAAGATGAACTCAAAAGCCACAAAAACCCTTAGAGCATCCAGGGGAACATCTAAATTATTGTTAGAGAAAATTACAGAATCCCATACTTTATTAAAACACTTGTATCATCTTTTTTTAATGAATAAAATATATTGACATGGATCAGAGGCGATTGTGCTGAGAAAGAATCACACTTATTCAGATTTCAATCCAAAACATAAGTGATCCCTATTAACACAATTATGTCCCATGGATACCCTTAAGACGTCCTGTCGGGACGCACAAATGCCCCACTTGAGGACCAACTAGGGACGTCCTTGAGGGATGTCCCTGGGACAACTATTGAATACCCAAATCCTACAGGATGTGTCTAAGGGAAATTTCGATTGTTATACGATCCTGATGGAAATATTAAGGGCGTCTGTGCAGAGATATTTGTAGGAATGTACTATCAGGGACATTTCATTATATAAGATCTGAAGTCATGCCAGAATATGTACTACTCGGAACATCCGATGAATGTCCCTAAAGGAACGTTTAAAATCATATCCCATCAGGGACATGCCAAGGACGTCCTTGCATGGACATTAGACAATATGTACCACGTGGGACGTGTAAGGGATCCTATTTCAAGGACTTTTGAGATAATATACCAGCTGGGACATTCCGTGGACGTCCTTGATCGGACATTGCATGAGAAGTACGGGATGGGACGTCCCAAGGACACTTACTCTTGTTCCGGGACATTCGGACTCGAAATGCACCAAATAGGGAAGTCCCTAGAACATTGTGTGCTATTAGGGGAGCTGAGTATAGCAACTCCCTTTTTCCACAGCGCGTTGAGAAGCTATGGGTGGAACAGAACTTTTTGTTTTTAATAATCAAGCCAGCAGGTTTTCTTGGGACTAAATTTCAGAACAACATGTTCCCGAAACATAAATCTACGATTTGGTCAAAATTCCACCAATACCAGAACAAGAGTTAAAGAAGTTACAGGACGACCAATTTGGCAAAATTTTCCTAAAAGATTTTATCTGGCCGGCTTTTTTGCTGGTGAATGTAGATAATTATACATGTATGTTTTGTCAATTAACAAACAAAGGATACCGTACGTTTTATGGGGGAAGTTGGTCTCCTGTCGAATTTGCTGGAATTTTGATATGCTATAGTCCAAGGCATTATCAACAAAATACCTACATACTAAACTGCTGTAATGTCAATGTAATTGGGCCGAAGTAAACCCCCGATTAACAAGGGAAACGGAAGTTTTCTGTCAATGTGTGGATGCGACTCATTGACTGTTATTTATAGGACCACATTCTTTCCTAGACAATATGGATAGGAAAATATATGAACATTTTCTACGGATTGATCTACAGGAGCTTCTTGAGGATGGTTCTCTCGCCATCAGAGGACAAATGATATTCCAAGAAAACGGTTGTTCAGCGCATTATCGGCTGATCGTTCCGCAGTTCCTGGATGAATATTTTTTTAACCGTTGGATTTGAAGGTCAAGTCCAATAGGTTGGCCAGCGCGAACCTGACCCCCCTTTATTATTATGTGCGATGTGGGGTCATATGGCAGCGCTAGTTAATGGAATCCTATAGTAAATACCCGGGAAGAACTCATACAAATGATAACCGATGCTGCCCTGCACATATAAAATAATTTGACAACTAGAATAACAAAGATGGAAATAAAAAGACGCTGCCGAGCATGTATTTGTAAAAGAGGTCACACTTTGAACAGGATTTGTGAAAAGTAAATACTGTTATTGAATATTCATTTGGAATAACCAACCCGTATCAAGCACTTTTATTGTTATTTGTACCCAGTTAGATAGGTATATCAAATATATTTTAAGAACCACCTTAGCGACCCCTATCCACCATTGAAATATTTTCCTTCACCTGTGAAACACCCTGTTATGTATTGAGTTTCTTGGAGGTAGAAAATAATCATAAAGTCAATCTGGAAAATGTATTCCTTTACTGCCATTTTGAATTATCACCCCGAAATATAAAAACTCATATTCATAAATGTCCTACTAACACTGTTCCATATGTCTGTTATTGGCCACGTTCATACCATATGTAGTGTGTGTGAACTTGTGTCGATGTATCGATATATATATATATTTTTTTATCGCTTGGAACGCACGAAATGGAATCCCTATAATGTTCAAAGAACATCGTGCGTTCCTAGGGAGGATAGGGATAGGAGGTAGGTATTGGAATGTTTTTTTGAACTTCTGGAGATTATTATTATACCAAAGCGTGCATAGAAATCGAAATCCAGTTTTCAATATCGCACAGCCCTAGTGTAGACACACTTTTTCCATCTTCAAAACACATGATACACAGATATGTTTTGTAAGAGATGGAATGTCATTTTTCTGTACCATTTCATTGAACGAGTGCAGACATATTTTTATTTGAAACCCTATCATTGGCGTAACACCAAAGGCACATAATGCTCTTTGTTATAGTCATATCAAATATTATGTCAATGAATGTATTTCCATGAAACGAATATTGGAATTTGAATAAGCTTCAACGAACATTTGAAATGTCGTCTTTGGGCATCTCAACTGAAAATTCGTTACCGAACAAAATATATTCGAAAACATTTTTGCAGATACGCCTATTCAATTTTCAGAACTGACGTTTCAAATCTGAGAATGATGACAATTTGTACTCGTGACAAGCGTGTCCACACTCTTTGAAGGGCGTGAAATGAGATATTCGAGGCACTCTATATAGATCTAGATAATAATGAATGGTGTTTCCGGTACTGTAGAGACTAATACTTATAGGTACCTAATACCTATATTTTACCTATCCAATATATTATATTTTCAATCTTTGGGCAATTCAGTATCTATATAACTACAATATTTTTATTCAATTTTGACATGAGAATATTTTCAAAATGTCCTTAAAAAATCATCTTTTTTTATCAAAAGTTCAAAAGTAAAAAATAATTTACACCCTATATAAAAATTGGTGACTATATTAGCATATATAAATATGTAATAATAGACATTTACTCACTTCGGCACTTCTAGTAACGAAGGGAATTCTTGTGAGATGGACGTGGTCTTGGAATACTAAGTCAGCCATTGTAGCATCATTGCAATTTCCAAGACGAAGTTCGAACTGACCGTCCCCTTTTTTCAAAATTGCAGCTTGGGCTAATTGATGCAAGGAAGCGATTGCAATAGCAACAAAAATAATTGCGCGGAATGTCATTTTTTAATTAAATTGTTGTATAATTTGAACACTAATAATTCTGATAACAAATGAACTGTCATGGTATTTTATATATAGGTAGCTATCTCAAGAGCTATAGGTATGACTATATCTGATCTGATAAAATCAAATTCTTAAAAATGCTCTCTGTATCTATGTCAACAAATACATAGGTGAAGACAATGAAGTAATCAGGAAAAATACTTATTCAAGGAACACTTTGAAAAAATACGGAAAATAATGGAAAATCTCGATTACTTTATTTTTCGAATGTTATTATCTATAAACATGCAAGGTTCATGGCATTTTTCTGCTCTGTATTCTACCTATCATTTAATAATCCATTTCACATGCTTTCGGAGAATTAGTTGCCTTTTTCATTTTGCGGAAAGCTGCTTCAGACTTCAGAGGGTCTCTTGATCCACATAAAGATCCCGATATAATTTCCGAATTTCTGAGACACTGTTTCTGACGATTCATTAGATGGCACACATGATCAAAACTTCTGGTTATATGTAGAAGCCAAGCCGATGATACAATAATTAGGAATCAAAGCATATTTTTTGCTTTGTTCACTTCACATCTTTGTAATGACGAATGGTGAAAGAAAGACAGACAAAAAATATGAAAGAAAATAAAATGGCAAACTATGAAAAACGAAATCAAGATAATGATTTCAATGAAATATTGCATCTGATATATAGGTTTTGGGTCCATTGTGAATTCATCGATTCCATACTGATGTTTTAAATTTGGCAATACTAATTGATTTCCTAATGCCGTAAAATAATGAAATCTATACAAAATATCATGTTCTACCAGCCCAATAAAAGTGTACACATATATTATATTACCCAATAGTAGGGGATGCAAAGAGGCTGAATAGGGATTTACTCGAGCGTCGTAGGAACTTATCAAATTGTGAAGATTAGATACGAAAATGAAAGAAAGTTTATATGATATGACCTTTCACTGGTGGGGAGAGCGTGTACAGGTGTTCAAGAGTGTGAAAAAAATAGTCGCAGAGAAATACACGAGCGCATCAGATATTAAATAGTGTATGCACGTGTTTCTGATAACCAAAAATTATTAATCTCCCGGTTTGCCTGGTGTGGGTGGCCGTACGGGGGGATAGAGAATAGCATGTAAAAAATTATTTTTCTACTACTGCTATGAAAAGTAGCGCATTTCTCATAGCTTACTCAGTTTCGAAACCATCATGTATTGCTCATACTGTGCGAAATATTTTTTCTCACTTTGCCAACACCACATACATTTCTATGGAGAATCAACAAAAATCGACCACAATTTGGCTGCTGTACAGCTTTGAATAGTTGTCACAACTGTCAGAAGAAGTTTTTTTGAATCCTTTAGGGTAGTTTTCATTAGTGCTTTCGATAGGAATCGCATTTTACATCAAATATTTTTCCAACAATTCATAATAAATAATATGATGTATATACCGAGATGTGACGATTTTGATAAATACACCGCCAGAGACAGAGATAATGGAAGAAGCTGCGACAGTTGGATTTGTTTCCGGAAATTTCAAGAAAAAAAGTACAAATTGACATAAACGAAAAATTTATTTAAAAAAACACAGAAATGAAATCTTTTTCGGAAAGTGTACTTTTTTGAAATACTTTGAGGAACTAGGAAATGCGTCTACTCTTTCGTCACAATATTCAATGTGGCATAGTGCCACAATATAAAATGAATACGAATGCTACATTACTCGGATTGTTTGAATAAGTGCAGTTGTAGAAAAAGTATAATGTGCAACATGTGGGGAAAAGCACTTTTGTCACTCGTGTGTTTGCATTTTTCGCCCTTCAGGCTCGTGCCACGAACTTTCACACTCGTGAGAAAAGTTGAACTTTTCCCGCTTGTTGCACAATATACTATTATTCGAGCGCGTCAGATATTGAGGGACGGTAAGTCAAACCCTCAAGTAGCTCCTATTAAAAAGACTGACGATTTGGACGCGACCAAATGTCATGATCAGTTTTTGGAAATGAAAAAAAAATCGTGACCTTGAAATACTCGAGCGCGTCAGATTATTATACAGACGCTTCATCTTAATGTCCTTGTCGTATCGACCCATGATTTGAGAATTATGTAGAGGAATCAACTTAACCTGACGGTTGGATTTCTGCTGTATGTAATAACTAAAATATAAAATATACTGGATGCGTCAGTTTTTTGTAGCAGGACTGCAACAGCTCGAAAAATTCACAATTTTGAGACGGAAGGCTCATGACATACAGGGTAGACCATCAATAGTGTGGCAAAGTGAGATAACGGCTCTGCTGTTTGAGATAGATGAAAAATTATTCATGAGATGGTTTAGTCTCATGAGCAGTACAATTCTGAAATATTTTGCCTTATACAGGGTTACTCAAAAATGAGTGGCGTATCAGTTATACTTTTTTTTATAGCACACCTTGTATTTTATTGCATTTTCAGATACCTCCTCATGAGCTGATTAATTGATAACATTATACGAAGTGATACTTTTTTTTTCAGTTTCACCACACTAAATTTATGATTTTCGTCACTTCGGCTTGTGCAAATCGACAGATTATGTTATTTCCGTGATCCGTGACAAATTGCCTTCAACATGAGAAAAAGATTAGCCGCGCTCGAGAATGTACAGGTGACGATTTTTTTGCAACTTTGTGGCTCTCTCATTTCCTTATGTCTAGCTTAAATCGTCAAATTATTGAAATGCACACTTTTCTGCATGTAATTAACGTACCACGTCTAATATGATCGGCTGCTCTAAACTTTCGAAACCATATAAAGGACCCTGGTATGGTGGGAGTACTTCACACGGTCCAAGGATCTCCCCTTATGTTAATCTGCCGCGCTTGAGTAAATCCCGTAATCCCCGTTTGGGCTTCCCTACTATAAACAGCAAACAATAAGTACTTTCTTATCCACCGACAGATAGTGCCTAGCCCAGCTTGCCAGCAGTATGCCATCGATAGAATCAATGCGCCATTGAATCGCTAGCTATCTCGTGTTTCCGCTAGGGACTGCATAATAGTGTAGTTAATTCACTATTTCTAAGAAAACTAACAAAATGTTCAACTGGTACTTGTCAAATTGAATTGTAATATTGACAGAGATACCGAGATTTTCGAGGATTTTATCGATTAACTTTCGAACAATTGAGTTCAAAAATACGACTTTTGCTCTGATATCTGAAGGATCATTTCTTGAACAGATTTCTCAAATGAAATTATCGATATCACATCTATAACAATGAAAAAAATGTCTGTCCCAAAAAACTCCGTGTTTGCGGTAAGTTGGGACACAACATTTGAATCCATCTAATAGTACATTGTTTTATTAGGATCAAATGTGACACTTTGTTTGACAAGCGATATTTGCCTTTGCGAGGCAGAGCGACCGCGGAATCGAGCACACAAATTTTGCGAGACTCTAAGAATTGAATAATAAATATAGGGTTTCTGTTTGAAACATATTTCGCGGACGTAGGAAGTCCAACGTGGATTACTCTGTCTATTCAATTTTCGAATATAAATGTGGAAGATTGGAAATAAAAATCGACTTGTTTCAGAAGATTCCTCAGAAATCAGTAGTTTTACTATAAATTAATTCATTAATTCGCACTATACTTCACGAGAGCACTCAATTCTACAAACGCACTGTATACAAACCCTATTTGTAATATATTTCTGAATTCAGCGTTCGATGGAAATTTCAAACATTTTATAATATATATAGGGTGTTCCATATGAAAAAATTTTCGCGGACGTCAGATCTCAAACGTGGATCACCTTGTGTATGAAATTTTCACTTATAAATTTGGAAAAATGAAAATAAAAAACAACCTGTTTCAGGAGATTTCACAAAAATGTATAGTTTGGTAGTAATTAATTTATTTCTTCCTTTTGCACCATACTGTGTAGGAATAGACTTCTTTCATTTCGTCCTTCAGAGATCATTACGAGACATTCATTTTTATGACCTAAAACTATAATTTCTTTTGGCTGTGGAATTTTGTCGTTATAATTAGGTCTCTCAGACGTAATTTTAGGATGTACAATGCGTTATTGAATATAAAGTGACATATCTTATACAGGGTATGTCACGATACGAGCTTACACTATCTTTATATCGAGAATCCGTCGAGAGAAATACATGAGAATGTGCATGCTCATATTTCAGAAAACGCTCTCTTCATTTGAAATATTTTCGACAATGCAGTGTTGCCGCTTCTACTAGAAAGTAGTAGCAACATTGATATTTCAAATGGAACACTCTCTGTATTTTATCGCATTTCCAAATTCTCCCTGAAGAGCTCATTTCATCTATATCTCAATAATGTATATTGATGCATTCTTATTTGTCACCCAACAGAAATCTAAGTAGCAAATCATTGAAAAATTAGTACGTCACACCGACGTGATTTTTAGACGTCATAGATACGTCACTGAACGTCATAAGAGTAACGGTTTCAATATAGGTATACCTAAACAAGCATCTGTTTATATACCTTGTTTATAACAACAAATAGTGGTTCTCTCTATCGAGCTTCGAATAACAGCTGGTTGTAAGTGAAGTTGAACGAAAAATTACAGAGATGGTTGAATCTGAATTGAACCGTGTTATGGCTATAAGAAGGAGCGAACTTTCGACAAGAACTGCTAAGTTGTGTATCTCACGAGAGATTTTTATAGACTGATTTGATCAAAGATACTAACTCAAAATTGATCATTTGATATACGATACCTTGTTATAAAGGAATCATTTTATACAGGGTGTCACGAAATTAGCCTGCCAAACTTCAAAAGTTTCATTGAACATGAGACGAGAAATGTCTCCTGCGGAAGCTACGGCCCCCTGAAAGGGGGCTAATGAAGATGATATTTCTTGAATATTTCCGAAACTCGCCATGTGATAAAAATATATAATTTGGTACAAGAACTCAACTTTTCATGCCCAATGCAATGAAAATAAAACCATTTCAAAATTTCAGTCAGGACTGTATAATACAGGGTGGGACTACATCAAATATTTTGTATGCATATTTTTCCACAATTTAATCTCGGATAATGAAAATCCACACTTTTTACAAAGGATGGTAATTATATTATTTATCCATTTCGATTCGTTCACATCTCACCGATAGTGACTTCATGATTTTTTTTTCATACTAATATACGAGTAGCTAATCATGTTCTCATAGAGATCAACGTTCTAACAATATAGCCGTTGCATAAACATCAAACTAGAAGGGGGTTTTTATTGTTTCCTCCATAAACCTCCCTGCACTGATCAGTATGAGCGACTCCTCCGCCCCTCTAGGTACCCACAGCGAGATTACCTATATAAAGGGAGATGGGTAAAGCCGCAAGGCAAACCCTACAGCCTCTAATAGGTCGCAGAAGCAACATGGCTCTAGACTTGAAGCTGCGCCTATAATAAGAACCATTCTACTTCCAATGATTTTGTATGCATCAAGTGCATGGGGCCAATGCGCAGAGACATACAAAAAGCGAATACAGGCATTTCTAAATGTCTCAATAAGAATGGCAGTAAATTCCCCATGGTATATCCCAACCCAAATAGATTTATCTATAGGGACCTCAACATAAATCCAGACTACATAGACAACTACATAAGACAACGCGCGGAGACTATATTTGAAATAACAGAAACCTACGAAAAAGTGTGAATACTCAATGCTAACAGACAACTAAACCAAGACCCGCGCTTCGGAAGAATAAAGTACAGACGCCCAATTCACCAAATATAAGATAAACAAACGAAAGTAAATCAATATCAATAAAAGTTGCATAATAATCATCAGATAATTAATCAGAAGAGTATCTCCTTTGATACCCTATAAAAATGTAAACCAATAATAATAATACATAAACTCAAATTTGCTTCCCATTAGGGTAGGGAACCACCACGCAAAGTCAGGCTAGGAAACACACATTAGAAAAAAAGGTTTAAAAGTCGGGAGACTGAAACCAAGTGAGGGGTTTTATAAAACATATATGCTGACTGCCAAATGCATAAGGTTGACCCCAAGTGTGATGCATTGATGAAATCAGCTCTTCAGGAAGAATCTAAAAATGCAATAAAATACGGGGTGCTCCTTTTAAAATAACGAAGTTGCGAGTTGTTTCTCCACCGTGGATCACCCTGTATACTAGGTGAAGATTTGTACGAGCTGCATACTTACATACTGAATACTTTCGCGTAAAATTTTGTCTTTGTATTTCTTGTATTTTTTGTGAAATTTGTTTTATAAAATCGCGATTTTAATTTTACAATAACATTTTACACGAAATAGAAAATGGCTTCATTCGATTGCATTATATATAATACTAAATATTCAATTGACATTGTATCCCAGCCAACTATGAGTTCAATATGAGTAGTTTCTTCAACTTTGAACTTACTCAATCATTTTCGATAAAAATTATTGGCACCTTTGAATGGAATTGACCTGTCAAAAAATATACATAGGGTTTCATTTGAGAAACAAAAGTTGATGTCCATTTCGGAAAAATAATAGATGTATATCAAAAATTATCTTGAAATCAAAATTCAAGTTATTTCTTCCAAATTTTTGTGTATACAATTTCTCCGTATCTTTGAAAACAAAAATTTTAAAGGGGGGATTCAATTTTAAGAGACGCACCCTGTACAAATTTTTTTATATTTCATGTCAGTACCATTGAAAGTATGAGTAAGTTATCGTAATATTTACGCATTTGAGAATTTGACCTTTCTGATTTTTTTTCGATAACATACAGCACTGGTTGAGAAACAATCAATATTATCATTCTTTCACAAAAGCTATTAATGTAATTGATTTCATATTAAAAAGTCCTAACGAACGAGAAGTAAAAATGAAAGGAACAATTTTCTTCTTATTACTTGTATTCATATTCATTGAGGTGAGTCTCATAATTTAATATATTATACACAATAAGTATATACAGGGTGTCCCATAAGTCATGGATCGAAAGAAGTGGGGTGGTAGGGAGAATCACTTCCAATCAAACTAACCATATATTATATGTGGTTAACCAATTGTTGATGGTTCAAAAGTTATTAGTTTTCTTCTTTTCTAGAAAAAAAAATAATTGCAATAATTAAAACTACACTCACCGGCAAAATAATCGATCCACTCAAAATATTGATAAAATTTGATCAACGATAACTTCGTTAATTCATGTCTGATTCGTGCAATTTTTTTTTATTCCGTAGAATCACACACAATGTTGAGATTTTAAGAAATGAGGCATATCTTCAAATTATACAGAGTGACAAAAAAGTGCATTTTTACTTCAATTCTAAAACAATCTCTGGAGTGGGTAAGCAGGTACAACCTAGAATTTTTCAGTCAATCATCAAGGTACGTTCATCACGAACATTTTCTTTTTTTATTTGTTAGGATAACTGCATTTTTGTGGAAGTTACAAGGGTTTCAGAAGAACGTTACATTTCCACATTTTTTCTATGGTAATAACAAGGTTCTCCAAGACATTTTTTGCATAGCTGGCTGTGACAGACCTGTCAGTTGACAATTTGTATGCTTGTGTTAATCATCGAATGGTTGAATAAGATATGAATCATTCTGCAACTGGCTCTGCGAGAGGTATTGCTTTGGTGCAGGATGATGGTAGATCACAATATTATGTGGCCAGAGCTTTTGGAGTTTCAAGATCCAGGGTGCAAAGGGCTGTGAAACGGTTTCGTGAATTTGGTGTAATCACAATAAGAAGAGGTAATAGTGGTCGGAAAAAATCAGATGATTTGCCCCAAAATGTCACTGCGTTTAAAGAATTTTCCTATCAGAGAGCCTAAAAGAAAAATTCACTAGCTTGTCAGTGACAATTTGTATTGTGAAAAGTTTGGAGAAGCGAAATAAAGGTATATAAAAAAAATATCAAATTTTCACTTATCTTTGGACCTTTCGGAGCCGAATCTGCTCCCGTTTTCAACATAAAAAATGATTATTTCAATAGCAAGTCGTATCTGCCTTGAAGATTTTCAGTTTTCAGTGACAATTGGTGACGTTGGCAATCAAATGAGTTACAGGATGTTTTCATTAATTAATCCTGAATTTACCATTTTCATGCTCAGATTTTCAGTAGTGAATACCATGTTCTAAATGAGTACATAACCCCTTCTTCCAATTCCTGACATGTAGATAATATAGCTCCTTCTTCCATCGCGTTCTTGCATGTTTAGTGTGATATAGCCCCTTCTGCCACTGTGTATCTACTCAGATATGAAGAATAGAAACAAATTCTGACAGGGCAAGTTATATATGCACGTAACACCTTCCATGACATAGCCGAATATTTTCTGAAACTGTTACTTGACCCCTTCTTCCACTTGCCTCTTCATTTGTGATTTTTTCCTCCTACAAATAGATGTACGTGGATGTACCTTTCCCCAGAAATAATTTCATGACATGTGTTACTTCTTATCAATAACCGTGGAAAAATGTTGTTTTCCTTGAGTTTTGTCATTTAATGAAATATTGGAGTTGATTTTTTAATGCGGCTGTCAGATTTAAAAACTACCCCATAAAGATAACTAATTATTAAAAAAAGTTGCCCATTTAATTCAGATTCCGAAATGGGATAACATATACCACACATATACCGTTAGTTTAATTGCAAATGACTTCCCCTACCATCCCACTTCTCTGGATCCATGATCCATGACTTATGGGACACCCTGTTTATATAAATATAATAAGTACAGTGTGATATATCAAGATAAGGTTACACAGCGTTGTGATCTCGGAAACGGTAGGAGATTCGAATTTGGTTAAATGAGAAGAAAGATGGGGATTCTGAGGTATCCCAACAACCTTCAGAAATTTTCAAAATTATACAGGGTGTCCTTTCGGGAACTGAATCGATCAATATATGGAAAATTATAGGTAGGGCGGATTTGAAAATTTGGTGGTATACCTACTACTGTTAATTGGGGCAAATTGGCTACAATATACAGGTGATAGGACACCCTATATATTGATTCATCTCGAGATTCTACGAAGAATTCTATGATGTATAATGGCCTATACCCATGACTAACCGTTTTTGACATATTTGAAACTTTAATTAAAAATTACGTCACATCCATTTCTCGTTCTTATGTGAACTATTTCATTATTCGCTTGGGGTTGGTTTCCTTATAGAACGGTAGCTAATTCAATTTACTGTGATAATATATTTTGATAATAAATAAATACTGGGTGATCAAAATCTAACATTCAAAATTAATTTGGAAAAACCGTGAAAAGTCTTTTTTTTAATAAAGAAACGCACTACTTTCATAATTTCATATCATTCAGCATCAAAATTGAGGGTAGGTATAACTTCGTATGAGATTTTCTATTCCAAAAATTTGTAGTTTTCGGAATATTGTCAAATTAGCATCTCTTTGTTCCAGACATAAATCGCGTATTCTTGAGTTCAGTTATTCTCGTAGTTGGCCATGGCACCCGCGATTGTGTTAGACACAATCAAGTGTTACAGAAATATATGTCATTGTAATCAATCATGATTTCTGTATATGTCTCAATATCGCTAATTTTGTTGTTTGTTTTCTTTTATTCGAATTGTTTTAGAATTTATTTATTCACATTATTACATCAGCAGATCGATTGTATTCTATAACAGTGGTGAGGGCTTCTGTTTCTTCGGATATCGAATAACATAATACAGTGTGACCCACTTCTAATGGAAACCCCCTGTATCTTACGTAATCGTTGGGTAAGGATCCTGAAATTTGATGGAGCGAGAAATATACCAAAAATGCACTCTATGACCAAGTCTGGTCATCTTCAATGATATACACTGCTCGCCAATAACATCCATGGAACCACCCCAATTTCCGGAAAATGATATTAGAAGTCAAAATAGGTCGAAAATCACTTCAGATTCGGAATCAGGACGCCCAATCCACTAACTATGGAAAATTTTCTGTTGTGAAAAATTAAATTTTGTCGGACTTTTTACGGAAGCACCCTTGTATCTTACGTAATTGACTTTATCTTTCGACTTCCCCTTCCTCCTGCAAATTTCAGAACCCTAATACCTCAATAATTACGTGAGATACGAGGGTGCTTTTCATGAGAAGTTAGACAACATTAAATTTTTCTAAACTGAAAATTTTCTAGGAAAACTATGAATTGTTAGTGAATTGGGCGTCCTGATTCCGAATCCGAAGTGATTCTCAACCTATTTTGACTCCTAATATCATTTCCCGGAAATTGGGGTGGTTCCATGGCTGTTGGCGAGCAGTGTATGTCACTAAAGATTACCTTACTTGGTCATAGAGTGCATTTTTGGTATATCTCTCGCTCCAGCAAATTTCAGGATCCTATCCAACGATTACGTAAGATACAGGGGTGTTTCCATTAGAAGTGGGTCACACTGATGTATGTAGAGTCCGACCACGATAACTTTGGGACAGCACGTGGTCGCGTATGCATTGAATATGCATATGCGTTGCGTCACATGCTGTCCCAAAGTTAACGTGGTCGGACTCTATCACATGTTCCTGAAACAACCCTATTACATTCGCCATAATTGAAGAACATATTTAAGTAATCTTTGTTTGAATAATTCGAACAACTCGGCATGATTGATCACAATGACATGTTTGTGACACTTGATTGTTTCCACGATGTATTGTTTCTAATACAACGTGGGCGCCATGGCCATCTGAGGATAACTGAACTCGAGAATATGCGATTTTCTGTAACAGAGAGATGTTAATTTGCCAATATTTTTTGAAACAACATATTTTTGGAATATACAATCCCATACAAAGGTACCCTAAATTTTGATGCTGAATAATATGATATTTCAAAAATAGTGGAGTTTCAATTTGAAAAAAAAAACTTTCAACGATTTTTTCAAAATGATTTGAAATGTTAGTTTCTGATCACCCTGTATTTATTTATTATCGAAATATCAACACAGTCCACCACAGTAGCTTCCGTTTCAAAGGAAACAAAACTCCAATCGAATAATAAAAGATGTCACATACGAGAAATTGATAAGTTGTTTGGGCTTGCAGACGTAATTTTTGACTTAAAATTGCCTATATTTTTTTGCAGAATCTAAAAATGAAATGATATATAGGCGATGTCCTATTTAAAATAGGCAAGTTGACATCAACTTACGGTAGAACCGGAAGTGCCATCTTGAAAATATTTTAGCCAAATTGCACCAATCCAAAGATCAATTTTACTGCCTTGGAAATGATTCCGATTTATGAAAGATGACAGTTATTTTATTCTCGAAGAGGAAGATGCAAACTGAAACGAAATTCAAAAATTGTCTGATATTTAGAAATCGGCTAGACTATAGGAATGACTGGTGAATATCATCTAAGGAATCTGATGAAGCAACAAAAAATATAGGTTCCATTTAAAATGAATAAAATATTTTTTCCTACGACCACCTATGAAAACAGCACAAAACACATTGATTTGTTATTGAGAAAGTGACTCGTTTCACTATGACAACATATAAAAGTTAGAAAGTTCGAAAGTAAAAACTCACATGGGTGGAAATATTCGAAAATCGCACAGTAACAAGGTCTATAGATTATGATGTACCAATGAATGAATATTATGCTGTATTATGGTACCTACCTAAGTTAAGTTATGGTCAAGTTAATGGAAAGTTAGTGTCGATTTAACATGAGTTATTGTCGTTAATTTTGACGTAATGTTAATTTGATGAAAAGTTTAAATCAAGTTAAGTTCAATTGAAAGTTGAATTAATGTCAATGTATTGGCAATTTAGTGATTAATGTTGAGTTAATCTCAATTTGATATTGAGTTGATGTTAATTTGATTTAAAGGTTATGTCAAGTTAATTTTGAGTTAATGTTGATTTGATGTTGAATAATTATTGAGTTATTGTTAAGTTGATTTTAAGTCAATGTTAGGTTGATTTTAAGTTAATGTTGAGTTGATTTTGAGTTAATGTTGAGTTAATTTCAAGGTCATGTTAAGAAACTGTTAAATTTATGTTAAGTTATGTTAAGTTGATGTTAAGTTAATGTTGAGTTAATGTTAAGTTCATATTAAGTTAATGTTAAGTTAACGTTAAACTAATGATGTCATTTAAATATTGAAGTAAAATTAAATAATAATGATATCACCTTCATGTGATCGAATATGATTAGGAACATGGTCCCTACTCTGGTCTTATAAACACTCATGACATATAATATACATATTTGTGGTCGTAGGAGAAATAGTGTACAAAACTCGTTGGAAAGTGAATTTCCTGCGCTCGTTTCGTGCTAAACGTCCACTAGCGCGAAATATGTGAATTTCCACACTAGTTATGTAATATACTAATTATAGAGATCAGTGTCATTTATTTTTAGAATTCCAAATAGGAACGTCTGATGTGTAGTTTAAACGGAACGGCTGTATAATAGTTATCAGACTATCGACTATTGAATTCAATATTAACCAGGCCCATTATCGTTAAATTGTCCTGTTCGGAACTGATAGTAGGAGAACCGGTTGCAGATTTCTACCGTCATCGATAACGAAATTATGTTCCAAAGGAAAGTGAAAACATTGTAGTTCATCGAACGGCACCTGTGCCAATCATTATCCTGAGCAAAATGATTGAAAAATTGCACTTTCCTGTGCGGAAATTTGCAAACGTTTTGGCGATTTGATAACAAGATAAGAATTATGCCATCCGATATCAATTGAATGGTAGATCTCAACATCTTACCTGTACCATATCTCTCAGTCTGAGCTAAATGCTACGATCAAAATAAAATAGGTATACCTACCTTAACGACATGGATAAACCTAAGTGGTGAAATATGTAGAACAAATATGAATAAAAAACACCCTGATAGAGATAACTTGGAAACAAATACGAAAGATTCAAGAATTTATTAAATGTATACAAATATGGTTATACCAGGTGCCTATACATGTTTTATATTGGCGCGCCACGTCAAGACATACAGATGCTTATGATTGGTCAATCCGTGGTCCGTGGCTTCGTGTGTCTTCGTTTCGTACTATGCCATCGCTACGCTAACGGCCATCGTCGTAGCACAGTTTGTCGTAATCATGCGCATGCGTGATCAAGTTCTCGAATGTTGTAATGGCGGATTCGTGATTTTAGGTCATTGAAAACAAGGATACTATGGAAAAGTGAGGTTCAGCAAAATATATTGCAGTTCGCTGGTTATTATATCAATTCCAGGCAGTAGAAATGTTTGTGGGAATACAATATTCCGAGGAAAGGCATTGCTCTCGTTCAGTAGAAGTGGTTGACCCCATGACGCCTCGTAAGGCTGCGAAGTCAATAATCAAGAAAGCGAAATCTACAAATGAAACTTATTGGAAGTTGTTCGATGTAGTGAGGTCGTTATTTGAAGAAGGTAATCTAAAAATACCTTAAATCGTAGGTACAAGAATAATTTGAGGTTATTAGGTTGAGATTCCTTTGAAACTTGACATCTTGGTTAATGTCTACATATACTATGGAATATAGTGAATTTTATGCTTATTAGTTTTGTTCAGATGAAGAATACCTATGAATAATTATGTAAACAAATAAAAAATTTCCATAACTATTGTAACTAGATCATTTGAATTGTTTTGCCAACCATCAAGGAATAGGATCATGAAAAAGTGATTTCGAGTTTCACAGTTTCTTGGTGATGTCGAAACCTGGACCTGATGCTTTGGTAACTATTCGACGTGTAGACAACGTCGCTAAATGACGTCGTTTCGATCGATGTGACATATTGACGTCACATTTACGTTTCTTTCACGTCGATAATTTGGTGATTTCGACGTAATTGGTGACGTGTATATGACGTGAAATTGACGTGTGAATGCTAGCTGGGATAATATCCGATGGACCAGTGTGAAACTCATGTGGTGCTCACACTATAAGTAGTCTAATCCGCATGTTGAGTTTCACATTGGTCCATCGAATACTATCTTTAGAGGGAGGCGAAATATCCTCGGAAGTATTGACGCTCTATACCACTAACTCAGATCAGTTTGAATCGCCGAATGGATATGCGCAAAGGCGACATCATCCCCTTTTATTTGCTTCTTGTTTCGCGAAATTGAGTAAAGCGGGGTTCACAACCAAACTTTTTATGTTTTGCTTTTTACGTTTCGTATTCTGATTGGTGAAGCGAAATCTGAAATTAAACTGAAGCAAATGTCATTCTCAACAAAAAAACGTTAACGTGAGTTTTTACGGTTTTTCTCAGTCGCCTAGGTTTTGTCACTTGTGCTTCCCCATGAAATGAAGTGAAATAAACACAACAATAATATTAATTGAATAACGACTAATATTCATGGATACTGGCAGAGACGTAAATTGCTCTTTAAAGAGAAAAATCAATCCCAAAAAGGCGAATATTGGGTGAGACTATCATTAAAGTATGGTGTGGAAATAGGTTGAGTATTGAGTATTTGTCTATTTTTCCATTTTCCTACATCGTGCCATTCTCACACATAGAGGCATCTTGCAACGCAAAAAGCTGAAAATATTCAGCTTTTTGCGTCATGTCCATTCCAGATTTTGCTTCACCAATCAGAATGCGAAACGTAAAAAGCAAAACGTAAAAAGCAAAACGTAAAAAGTTTGGTTGTGAACGCCACTTAAGAATTATCGCACAGGAACATGTCATTTTTCTCAGGATAGTAACCGGCACAGGTGCCGTTCAATAAACTACACTGGTTTCACATGCCTTCGGGGCATATATTATTTCGTCATCAGATGACTGTCGAAATTTGCAGCCGGCATGAATAAATTATTTCAATATTGATGTATTGAGCAATTCAATCCCTCTAGGGAGTACCAGTACCAACTTCTGACAGAGATGATATGAAAGAAAGAGAACAAATGGGATTAGATTGTCTGGGAGAAGTCAATATAAAGAGAGAAGTTATCGATAGAATTCTGAAGACTCAAAAATTTCCAAGAGGAAACCAAAAATATATGGACTTTTTAGCGTGCAGTTACAAAAAGCAAGGTTTCCAATCTCAAGAGGGGCAAATTCTGTACGACAATATAAATGACTTCTTATCAAGGTACTACAGACGAAATGATTTGAAAATAATGGATAACTGCAAGTCCACCACTGGAAATAATCACGGGGAACGAGCGTTCAATGCCATGGAATGTATTATCAGCGACCTGAAGAGGATTGATGAGATTAATGATAATTATCTGAGATAACTATAACTTATGTTTCAGTATTTATAGGATAATCGAGAAAATTCTCCTAATTTGTGGGATTTTTTCCCCTGTTTCCTGCCTCTGTCACTGACTACTAATTGAAATTTTCTCTTATATCCCTAATGGTGACATTTCATTTCAGGAAGAATTATCTGATGAGTTGCCCTCACTTCAGCTATATCTAAATATTTTCATTTGTAGTCAAGGAAATAAAAAGATTCCATAAATTTAGGGAAATAATTTTTTAAAATAATTTAATATTCGTTTTTTCACCACTAGCTTTGGGAACTACGATTGTTAACTCTTTTCTAATTCATCAAGTTGTTTCTCCACTAAGGTATTTATTTTCAATTCAAAACAATAGTTTTCGTATTCCTAACCTTTTATCGACACCACATTTTGACATAAGAGATGGGGATATTTTCATAGTTTATATATTGTAAGTTAGACTGTTGTGTAAGTTATAACCAATTATTTTATTTTGACCGTTGCAGTCGGAACAATATTTTTTGAATATAACTAAGATACATACCTACTTTTCATATATTCCAAATATATGTTGAATTGAAGGAATAAAACTATTGATGAAGGAACGGTTGGTTATACCGAGTCTTCAACAATGAGTGCCAACGTGACCATTTTTGATTCGGCCTCCCTTTTCCATGCACGTTGAAGAGATGCGAATGTATTCTTGGTTGGAAAGAAAACTGTCACGTGGTTTTCAATCATTGTTGAAGACCCGTTACTATATTTGATCTAATATAATGGCGTATTAAATAAACCAAATGTCAAAACATTGTTTACATTATGTGTGGCATTATTAGAACAACACATCCGCATTTTACATCCACTGTATATGAAATAAGATTATGAAGTTTCATTCAAAGGCAAGAAAAATAAATTCAAAATTTTGTTCTGAAGTTTTGTTTTTTTGCGATATCATAAGCTCCATAGTCAGTCACCCTGTACAAAATCATCATGATTCGATGCTTACGAGTGTGAAGAAGAAAAGTATAAAAATGTACAATAAATGATTATTGAAAGGACATTTTTCTATATGTACACAAAAGGTGTGCCAAGATCACATAATTTATCTGGTGCCGAAAATCAAATATAAATAGAAATGTTCATCAAAATGAGACCGGAAATAATTCCCAATACACTAGAATCGTGAAATTTGGTACGTGGTACTGATTATGATATATATAAATAGACGACTCTTGGACTAAGCCTTATTATAGTATTATTTTTCAATAATTGTCTTGTTACTGGATCACTATTCATGGTAGGTAGGACCTCTTTATCAGATGAATAGTTATTGGCATGCCTAGGTTGCGAAATAACTTTTTGACGTGCCGAAACAAAAGTTATCGCTGACAATCTTGATGTCGCCAAAAACTTTCTCGACCATATGCTATTCACACTATTACCGAATAACCTTGATATTGTCGTAGTTTAGGAATGTCAAATTCTGAAGTGGGCTTTGGTTTGGCGGCTGCGGAGTTGTACTTCATGTACAGTCGTCTTCAGAGATCATGTCGCGGTTGGACGGTGTCAGCGCTCTTATTGCAAGAGTTATTGAGAATACTATCATCGTCCATGTGCGACATGTTTTCTGAATACGACTATACTGTGTAGAGAACGTGGAGTACACTCTCCGCGTACGATTGCAGCAAAATATATTTTTTAAAGAAATAAAAATGAATAAGACGTACATAACAAATCACTGTATATTACAAATAATATTGTTATTCACATAATTATAAAAATACTATATAATATCATTAATAATCAATAATGAGCAATTGATATTTTTGCAATAAATTATTGGTACCTAATGAAATCGTTTGAAATGGACACCATTTACTAATGATTATTTCAAGTTTATGTCATGAAATAAGATATAAAAATAATTATTATTAATTTTATGCTGAAAACACTTGCATTCTCCATAAACCGCCACATCTAGAAACGGAAATGATTATTATTTATTAATCTATTATTGCAGCTATTTCTTGTACATTTTCAGGAGCGCACGGAAGGAAATCCTTATTATGTAAATGGAACATCGTACGTACCTAGGAAGGATATGAGGGCAAGTTCTTGAGAATATACTTACTAGGCAGAGAATTCCAAATCTTTGCCGATCTATGAAAAACTCCTCATATCTATGCCTTCTTCTATTTAATTCTTTTTATACGGAACGCTCCCTGTAGGCGATTCCTATGGTATAGACTAGAGTCACTGGATTGAATTAGTAGTAGATAAGAGTTCGGACATAGAAATGACAACTGTTCGTGTTTTTGAAAGTTCAGATTCATTAAGTTGCACACCTTGCATTGTGACAACAACATCATAGTCGTTTCGCGCTTCATCATTTGAAATTGTTCGAATTTGACAATGAATTTTATGTACGTCAGAATTGAAATATAATATCATAAACTATTCGCGATAGAAAATAACACGTCGCCCCACCTGACGGCAGCAATTTGAACACTTTTGGGCGGTTCGTTTTGATGATATGACCAATAAGCCCAAACAAAAAACAAATGTGAACCAATAAAAACAAAGTAAACATGCCGCTTTGACAGCTTTCAAGAACTCCAAACTCCAAACTTCCTATCGCGAATTGAGAAAAAAACATGAATAAAAATTCCTGCCGTATAATGAATTGCGGGAATTCCGAAGGAAATGGCGATATCATATCTTCAATTATCCAATGGAAATATCAACCATTTCCTTATAGAAGGAATGCATGAAACGGCCGGAATAGAAAATTAATTTGAAGACAAGCAAAATTTGTGAGGTAAGTACATTAAAATTCACTTCTCATAACAACAGATTGGAATGAAACATAATTTTAGGCCCATTTTCAAAAAAGAAGATTTACAAAACAGACTATTGGAAACAAATTCCAATAATATCATCAGATGAAATGCAAAAGATGATTATCATAGAGAAAGAGGAATTGATTGCAAAACTACATAATGAAAATGAAAATTTGAGAACGAAACTGAGGAAATCGAGTGAATTGCAACGTGATATAATATCATTGAATGGCGTTTTCAATACCTACCAAATTTATCAGTAAAAAGTGAATGCACAGCAAAATTTAAAACAATCTTCATGTTTCATTATCCATGTGTCTATTTTGTCATATTGAAATGTTGTTACATGAATCCTTTCCTTTTTGAGAACTATTGTTATGCGAAAAGTGTATCACTATATGAATTGAAGTGAGTGTTTATACCCTATTCGTTTTTTTCATCTACGACAATGATTGATTTGACAGAAAATCTAACCTCTAAATGCGTATCTGACAATCAGGCGCTACTAGGAAAATTGAAAAGACAAAGAGCAGCATTATTTTATTTCAAACCATTGTAATAGAGAAAATAGCCAAGGACAGAAGTTCAGCTGTGTCCGAACTCTTATTTTCCAATCAATCAATCAATCAACTTTATTATTCCCAAGAAACACCATTTGTTTATAGCAGGGAACATAGTGAATACATAAATATATTTGACAGAATAAAATGAAGGAGACAGTAAAATAAGACTCACACTCAAAAAGAATCTTAATTTTTTCAAGTGATTCTAGTATAGACCAGTCAGAACGGTCCAAAAAGGGCCAGCGTCTGGAGTTCATCGCGGAAGAAAGAAGACATATCATTTTTAGTCTTCTTTTCTTTTCGCTTCGCAGCCAAGAGCATGCCATTATCTCTTCATAGTAAAATTTTGTGGTAGGTGCTTGGTACAGAGAGTCAACATTGCGATTACACGCAAGCGGCTCGGGTTCAATTTTCGCGATGAATAATTTTTTATTTTATCAAGTTATTTCCAGAAAAACATACTTTCTAGGAAGAAGGTTCATTTAGGCCGAATTCGGTTAGATTGTTTAGATGAAGCAGTGTTCTTCCTTATGCAGAAAGGATAGTTCTCCTCCGAATATAATATTTAATTTAATTACTGATGTACCTAATTGTAAAAATACTCTTTTTTCGAAATTAACGTCAAAATCAGTAATTTGAATTCAGGAAAAAGAAGGATTATCTTGATACCATAACTATTAAATGCTGCTCAACAAGTATTCATTTCGCCACCAAAATTGTTACTACTGCATATTAATAATCTGTTGAGAATAACCAGATAACAGATAACAGCACTACAGTAGTTGTTAGTAATAAATATCTTGCTGAAATTACAACCCGCTTGAGATCAACGTCACCAAAATTCAAACCTGCATACTCTCTAAAGAAGCCGAAATCACCATGCCTGATATGGCAATGTCTGGTCACCATTTCCACAATATCTATTCTAGGTATTTCTAAGGGGTGGAAAATTCATCGATATATCGACTATTATCGATATTATCGATAGTTGCTGAACAATTATCGATTTATCGATAATTTTTGATAAGTTTCGAAAACTATCGATAACTGTCGGTAACTATCGATAATTTAAGAAATTTTCGTTGATATTTAATCGTTATTGTCCACCCCTATAGTGCATTCCAACATAGGAGACACCATCGGAAAACATAGGGAAACCTTGACCTTCGCTTTGATTAGTTAATATTATAGGCAATATTACACTTGCCTGATATTCTGACTTATGACGTGGCGTAAAGATTGAAGTTTTCATCAAATTTCAATTATTCATCGTATTTTTTTTATTTCTCGATAAATCCTGAGATGATTCTCCAATACAAAGTGGAATTCATCATTAGAATTACCGTGATTTTGAATTAAGCGTCACATATTTATTTCGTCAGTGTAAAATTTCTTCAGAAGCAGGAATGTAGCATAATTCTTTTTCTCCGCCTAACACGCCCGATGTTCCCTTTCGTACGTCCCAATTATGAAAATAAGAGATAGGTACTTCAAAAATATCGACAATATCGATGGCCAGCGCATGAGTTGTGGAAGTTTCAGGACTCTTTCGACATATATCGCTGGACTTCTTTCAGAAATCGGACTATACCGTACCTTCTCTTCCTATTTTTTACGCACGATGTTCCATGAACCATAAATAAAAAGCTGAAATATCTATAAATTCCTTGTGAAAAATTTTCAAAGAAAAACGAGCAGCTCAAAGTCGGTCGAACACACTTTATATATTGTGCTAGTTCAATTCATGTCCAACTGTCAAAGTCTTTGTCCATCTTTCAAATTGACTGAATTTTTCAGTTCTGTAGCATACTGATATGGTCGTCCCCTACATGCCTTCGGTATAGTTTATTATGCAGTTTAAAAAACACTTTTCGTTTTTTGATAAGATGTTTAATCTTATCAGAGCTAATATTTTCTGGCTCTTCACCAAATTTAAAAAATAACCTAATATGCCCGACTCTGACAACCCGTTGACGAAATGTTTAACACTTCACAATGACTGATTTCCATAATAATACTACCGACCGACTTTGAGCTTCTCCCGTTTTATAACGCAAAACCATACGAATGTCCCTGACATGCCTTGATGGTCTGAGATGAATACTCACTGACAAGATCTCAGCCACCTCTGATCCCAAGCCCGGATGGCAGCCGTTCTGGTGGCCTGTACCATGCCGGCGGAACTGCCACATCTGACGCACTGCTTGATCACCCGCGGAGTCTTGCCGAGGTAGAGGTGCCTGATGGAGTCGACGGTCTGGCCGGCGTTGGAATCGGAGTTGCTTGCCAAGCATTCGGGCTCATTGTTGAATTCCAACTGAAAATGAGTAGGCGTGCCCTCAGTTTACTTGTACGAACAAAATTCATAAGTTGACTCTGAATTATTACAAATCTTCATATACAGAGTGTTCCTTAACCCTTTCCAGCCCGAATTATTTTCTCGTGGACAAAAAATTTTGATCAATGATGATAATAAACACATTTTTTCTATAAAAAATTAATATATTCATATCCTTCATATTGAAATGAATTGACGCCATATGGAGTCAGTCGGCAAATGATTATATTTATTATATTCAAGTACAAAACAAAATATTCACCAAACTAACAGGAATTCAACTCATTTACAGTGGAGAAACTTGAAACAATTCTTCTTTTGTTAAATATAATGTAGTTCCTCAGCTTATCAAATCTATTCCTAGACATGATATCAGCAATAGGCGAATACCTTGTAGATTCGGCCCAATACATCCGGTAACTTGGCATTTTCACTAAGCTACTCAGAATATAAATACCTACACCAAGGAATTGACTAATTTCATTTGAAGTTGTATTCATAGATGATCCAGTCATCTCAACTGAATATACATTTGTCGCTGAATAGCCCAGAACCCTTCTGTGGTATTGCGAAAGCTATACAAAAGACTAGTATCAAATCATGGATGCAAACCATATCTCAAGAATGGTGGAACAACGCGCCAGGAATGAGACAGGCAAAAGAGTTTATAAAAAACCATCGCCAACATTCACAAAATATCTACTGAGCCAGAAACGAAGTGGGACTTCTCACAGGGCATTGTAGGCTCAACAAACACATGAGTACGATAGGTCTGACTGAAAAACTGCTCTGCAGGTTCTATCAGGAAGAGGAGGAAACAGCAGTACACATACTTTGCCACTGTGAGGGCTTGTCAAGACTAAGGTTCCTTACGCTGGGTGAGGAAAAACCAGAAGCCCAGAGATACACAGGGGATCTGAAAGCTAGCCTATGGACTCTCATAGAGAAGGCGGGACTAGCCGAAGAACTCTAATCGATTTTGAGGGCAGACAGAATAGATCTGAAAAGGTCGCGGTGTGGAGGCATATAGCCCGAAGGCCCCATTCTAAATCTAAAATCCCCTTTCGTTTGCTGTTTGTTTCAACTCGTTATCACATGACAGAATTTGGCAGATTTGGCTCAGATTAAGGGGTGGCACAGGTAGGTTTTTGAGATCTACCATTCAATTGTTATCGTATGACATAATTTTTATATGGTAATCAAATCTCGAAATTGAGTGCAAATTAACGCACAGCAAAGTGCACTTTTTCAATAATTTTGCTCAGGATAGTGATTGGCACAGGTGCCGTTCGATGAAATACAATGTTTTCACTTTCCTTTGGGACACATATCATTTCGTTATCAGATGACGGTCAGAATTTGCAGCCGGCCGTTGGACTATAACGATAGTATTGGTGATATATCATAGTGAAAATTACAATTACACCATCATATGTATCAGATTGAACAATTTTTAAATAGATTCTCATACATTTTTTGATGCTCATGACCAATTGAATCAAAATATGTAGACAATTTAGCACTCGTGTGATAAATGGGAGAAAAACAACTACTTTCCTGGCTAACGCCACGCAGAATATCGGATTGAGTCCTCCCGAAATCTATAAATCGTATGAACGAATACTGATGAATATCTTGTTCAATTGCAATAGGGAATTAATCAATTTTGGTTCTTGAAATGTTCTCATCAAATTCAATTCGTGCAATAAAAATGTTAGATATTTTTTAAACAATCTACACTCAGGACAGATTAGTCATAACAATAACAAAATATAAGACTACATCCGTATTTCATCAATCTAGAATAGTGTGGAACACAAATATCAGGAATACTCCTATCCCATCATATACAGTCTGTCCAAGATAAGGTTGAACAGCATGGGGATCTCGAAAACGGTAAGAGATACGAAATCGGTTAAATGGGGAAAAAGTTGCGCATTCGGAGGCTCATATCAAGAGCCTTCGAAAATTTTGAAAATTATTTTTAGTTTTTGAGTTATATCGAAAAAAGTGAATTTTTGGAATTTCTATTTTTTTTTTTTCTCCGTTATTATTAGAGATACAGCAAAACTGAGAATACTTTTTCATAGCAACTTTTGATGACGGTCAACGTGGTGATACCGATTTTTTCATGCGACGTTTCGTATTCGTGGAACCATCATCAACTTTTGTTTTTTAAATACGGTCCTGATAATTTTTTCACAGATTCTAAAAGGTTTTTTTATTCTGAATTCAACCATGTATTATACAAGGTGGTTCATTTGTGTTTCGACCTATTTTTGGCCATCATCAATGTTTTTTCGAAACTCCAAAGGAAAAATGCCATCAGTTCCACTTATTGTGAAGGAAAATTTGTCAACACACTAATACCTCATCAACTGGTTTCAATCAACAACCCATTTCATTTTGCGGAAACAAAAATTCCATCCATACAAATTCAGAATATGTCAAGCGCTAAAACCAGGCGATGACGAAAGGCGCAAGACATTCTGTGAGTGGTATACCAGGAAATGTTAAAATTTTGCAGATTTCTTTCGAACAATCATCTGGACTGATGAAAGCATGGTCACTAATCATGGTAGCTTCGATAGAAAAAATACACATTATTGTTCACGAGAAAATGAACATTTATACATTACAGCGAGACACCAACACCGTTTCGGCTTTAATATGTGGGTTGCAATATTTGGTACACGAATTATTGTTCCTTCTATTTACCATGAAACACAGACTTCCGAACGTTATAGAAATTCGCTTGAGAATCATCTTGAGGAAGCTCTGGATGATTTACCGATTGCGGAAGTTCAGAACTCTGTTGGTTTCAACAAGATGGCGCTCCGGTACATAATTCCAGAGAAGTCCGTGCGTTTTTATCCCTTGGCCGGCGCGGTCGCTTGATTTGACACAGCTGGATTTTTTCTTAGGGGATATATCGAACTTTGTACACGCAAATAACTTTGAGGATGAAGAAGAACTAAGGGACAATGTCTTAGAAACAACTGTGAGAAGAGGATATCTTTGTTCAGAAAATAATGGTTATCATTTTGAAAATTTGTTATGAATGTCTCTGTAGGTATTGTCAAAGTTAAGTTGTTAAAGTAATTCGTGTAAGAATTCATCAACAATTTTAAACGCTGCATTGATCGAATGATGTAGTGAAATATTTTTTAATCACTTTTCAGTATTGAATAACTAATCCATCAAGTTTGACACTAAATGATAAGAAATAAGTGGAACTGATGGCTTTTTTTCTTTTGGAAGTTCGAAAAAACATTGATGATGGATAGAAATAGGTCGAAACACATTCGAATCACCTTGTATAGTACATTGTTGAATTCAGAATAAAAAAACCTTTCAGAATCTGTGAAAAAATTATCAGGACCGTATTCAAAAAACAAAAGTTGATGATGGTTCCACGAATACGAAACGTCGCATAAAAAAATCGGTATCACCACGTTAAATCTTATCAAAAGTTGCAATGGAAAAGTATTTTCAGTTTTTCTGTATCTCTGATAATAACGGAGAAAAAAAATAAAATAGAAATTCCAAAAATTCACTTTTTTCGATATAACTCAAAAACTAAAAATAATTTTCAAAATTTTCGGAGGCTCTTGATATGAGCCTCCGAATGCGCAACTTTTTCCCCATTTAAGCGACTTCGTATCTCCTACCGTTTCCGAGATCCCCATGCTGTTCAACCTTATCTTGGACAGACTGTATATTGTGGACTGGTATGCAGTGTATCTCTTGAGTAAACGGTCAACCGCATAATGGAATACCTAGCACAAATGAACATACTACTCAAGTTAAAACCATATTTTCTTTGAGAGATATTCGCCAAATTTGAAAGTTGGAAAATCTACAACAATTAGGACCGGTTGCATACATAATTTTACAGACAATTTATTATTCAATTTGTTTACATCTATGGCAACCTATGCCTTAGCTATTTAATAAGGAGAGTTGATTCCTTGTTAAGTTCACAGACCTAAGATATTGGCCATTACTATCAACATGATTGTTCGATCCAACATATTACCTGAAATATAGGTGTCAAAAACATCGGTTAGCCATTACTGATATGGTATTGAAATGTGTTGACAGAGTGTCAATATCAATGGCCCAAGAAAGTGTTTGGAATTACACGTTAAAAGGTAAGGCCCCCGTTATTCCTTGCTCGCACAAGACTCTCGAAGACATCTGAGGGTTGCTCGTAAGGGGGCAACCGAATATCGGATAGACCAATTTAGAAATACAAATTGCACAAAAAACGGTCAGGTCAGGATTGTAACTTTTGAATTATTCTAGATAGGGTTTCGGAAATTGGTCGGTAGCAAGTATATCAAATTGCTCATTAATTGATGAAACAATTTTTCTTCTATCACTTCCAGTCTCTCCGGAAACGATCCCAACTTTTGATTTATAAATAGGACACCCTGTATTGTATTCCATGATCGGATAGGGATTATCATGACGAATTCAATGATACCAGGTTTGATAGGGTTATTTCAAACGATTACAAAGATATTTGCGTTCGAAGTTTCCATATGCTCAATGGGTGTGACTTCGCAATATCGAATCGTCTTTCTCTGTCTCACTCATTGAGCATATGGAAACTTAAAACGCGAATTTTTGCGTAATCGTTTGAAATATGCCTATCAAACCCGGTATCGATGAATTTGTTACGACAATCCCTAACCGAATATGGAATACAATACAGGGTGTCCCATTTAAAAATCAAAAGTTTGGGTTGTTTACAGTAAAACCGGAAGTGATAGAACAAAAATTGTTTCGTCAATTAATGAGCAATTTGGTATACTAGCTGCCCACCAATTTTCAAAACCCTATCTCGAAACATTCAAAAGTTACTGTCCTGGCCGTTTTTTGTGAACTTCTCTGTATATAACATACCTGCAATGGTAATATCTGTTGTGCTAAATGTGGAGATGCAAGGACTGGTCTGTTGTTTGAAGGCTGCAACAGCTGTATTTGAACTTGACTTGGAAGTAGACAGCATTCATCTGAAAAAATATCAACATTGGGGATATCGATCTATAAAACTCTCAATTTTCGGAATCATCAAAAATAAAAAATCAACAACAAATATGGAATGTGCATAAAAATTGGGAATTAGATCCACTGATGAGAGATTTGGGTTATATCGAAGACACAAGGAACACGAGACTTGTGCCAATTATTGATTGGAAAAGTATTAGTGAATATATGTTGTTGGTCGTATAGTATCCACTGATAGTGTTACCGATATGATTCGAAATGTTGTATAGATCGTATCGATGTGGTACAACATCGTTAACAGTAACTGAGTATCTGTTGGCTGAGTGCACGTAGCTATACAATACCGGTATACATTTTTGAATATTGTGCAAGATAATGTATTTAATCATTTTCACTTCAACTGTAATAGCAAATTAAGAAATATAATAATTAATTCGAAATATCCCATTCGAGAAAAACTGCTTGATTGGTTTTATTCCACTCATTTCAAGATGCGCGTTTTTGATTGGTTGGAATATCTATGATGGAATTTTGCTTCCTTATTGGTAGTTTGATCAAATATGAATCGAAATTACTTACATGCAGCAGGCTGTCATGAATGGACATGGAAGTTATAATATTTTCACATTCAGGGATAAATAGCTCCCAACACTAAACTTGAGACAAAATCGTGATGAGCAATCAATTTTAAATTATATCGCAGAATTTTAGACCAACTTTGTATGATTGACACTTGAGGAAATATTTTCAATCTCAACCTAACCTCTCAAGTTGAGTGGCATCACTTTGACATCGCTAATCTAGCGACAGGACGCAGCATAATAGGTCGCGTGCACGATGACCAACCCTGGAGGTGAAATATTGAAACACAAGCTCAATCTTCTGTGAATCATTGAAACACAACGTCAATTTTTTTATTTGTTTACAAAGGAATCGAAGGATTGAAATAGTTTTTCACAATATTTTGGTATACGAATCATGTTTTTTGCGCTATTTATTAATTCAAGCATGCCTTCTCATTGTGCTGTTGTACAATGCACAAAAAATGCAGCAAGAGACGAAGGAATATGATTTTTCAGTTGAATAGTAATCTCACTAGTTTTCATTATGAAATTTTGTCATTTCTTATTAAAATTCCTTCTGTCACTTCTGCAATAGAAGCTAATACTGCTAAAAGATTGAAAATGTCTACAACACATACGATCATATTTCGTCAGCATGTCAGACCAGTCCTCCCGTTTGATTGCATGAATCCAATCTTCTTGCATTCTTTTTGAAATTTCACGAGTATTTCTATTAGCTCCTATAGCAAAAGGAATTCCGATGAGAAATCAGAGAAATTACTAAATTTCAAAATAAAAACTATATGTGAGTGACTATTATAGTAGGTAGGTACTTACTTTTGAATCATAATGTACTAACCGGATTTCTTCGTCTTTCGCTGCACTTTTTGTGCATTGTACAACTGCACAATGTGATGGTATGCGCGAATTAGGCAATCCAAACCACGTGACATTTTAGCTGACAAGATGGCGTCTGGTTGGCAAACAAAGGTTATACATCACTTGTAATTAAATTGTATTTTGCCGAATCACCCTATTATTCTGGTAGTTTTATGTGTCAGGTGTTTGAGGGAGTCTTGGAGCTGAATTGAACAGTGCTTCAATATATGCCGAGTTCATATTTCCAGAAGTTATTGCAGGAAAACCCAGAGGTTGGTCAGTGGTAAACATGAATATTTATTGTTTTTTCGGCTATTTTCCCAACTAACCAGTAAATTTTCATTCCTGAAACTATCATACAACCATTATTTGTTTGTAGATATCTGATGAAGCTGATGTTGATCAAGGATTTGAAGCCCTTCACATCTGAAACTGCTGACTGATTAGACTACCTCATAATTATACTCTCCTACTATTTATAGTGACCCACAGTTTCTACCCTCATGAGCAAATGAGAGCATTCAAAACCCTTGTTGCTCAAAAGTATTTTTCAGCAACTTTTGTCCAGGAAGTAGACAGGAAGATGAATGATTTTCATGTCATAGTTGGAAAGGTAACTTTTTACTTTTATACCTAAATAACTTTCATGATAGGAACATTTTGAATGATGAAATTATGTTATTCATATATTTTTGAATATATTTCCTACCTCATATTCATGTATATCTCATGTAATTTTTTTATAGGTAAAATATTCACAATCAGATTCTGTGCTAATAAGTAACTGAGGCTTGAGCAAGTAAATTAGGAACAGTTTCATGTACTGATGTATGTGCTTTGTGGCCCATGCCACCACTCTCAACATGATTGTGCCCATCATACCAATAGCAGAAATGGACATAGGTACAGTTGCTCTGACTGGTTTAATACAAAATCCCTACTATATCTTCAATGTCCAAGAAACGTGATTTTGATAACAACATACACAAATTGCTTTGAAGTTTCATGCTGAAGTTATAATACCTGGACTTTTGAGTAGATATTAATTTCACCAGAAGTGAACTATTGGTGTAAGTGTTCAAGTGCTGATGATGGAACCCCTATGACTAGTTGTGACAGTGATAAAGGGTTCTATTTTGAATGTGTAGATATTTTAGGTACACCAGAATCAGCATGGTTCTGTGAATTCTGATTCAAAAAGTTCTATAAAAAAATATGTACCTATTCATAGTAAATATATCATTCAATCATTGTTTATTATTGTTTCAATCAGATCACTGAATAACTATAATGTTCTATGAAGATTTTTTTCATGACTCATGTAGATCTTTTGTAATATAGTGGAATAATACAATGTATTTTTCATTTAATGAATATTACAATTTGATATACTTACTTTATTTGTCTTACATTTATAAATGATAAAAATAAATCACAACAAACTGTAATTTGTAAAAGTACTTATAATCTTGTGAATTTTCACCTTGTTTTCACCAATTTTCTCTTCTATTTCTTAATCTCCCAGGACACTTTCTTCATTACACTAAAATAAATGAAAAACGATGTAGTAGTAGTATTAGGTAATTAGGTGTTTTCTTGAGAACATACCAGGTCTCTCGGTTCTGATGCTTCATGATTTGAACCTTTTGTCTGCTCTCAGTTTTTGATCCACATCAGTCTTGCATATTTCGAATGGACAAGAGATTGATGACCCATATTATATTGCAATGGGACCCAAGCTGGATATTCTCATCTTTCAGGCACTACGTTCTCCTACAAGGTAGATGATTTATTTATGTATTAGAAACATGATGTTTCCAAACTATGTAGGTCCATTAAAAGTAATGAGTATTGGTTTATTTTATCAAAATGAAGAAAAGAAAAGTTTTCCATAGGATGAAACACTAAACTCATCAGTTCTAGAGTAGGTAGGTACATATAAATAATATTAAAATCCTTTTTCTTAGGTACCTGTTATGAAAATAGTGTCTGACACATATCCTCTGGTTTATTATGATTGATTCTGTTGCTGATTCTTTCTCTTGATGGCTGCTATCCACATTTCCCTTATTTTTCTTGATAGATCCTTCATCTGTGGGTAATGCTCAGAGTTTTTCACAGTATTACAGTAGGAATGTGACAAAACAGCAAATGGTCCCGGTCTGCACTGCTTCCACAATTCACGTTACTGGCAATTTTTTTTGAAATCATACTGAGCTTTCATTATTCACAATAAATCTAGCCGAAACTCGATAAAATAATACTGTAAGAGGCTTCCAAAACCCACAAAGTTCTCAAGTAAACAAACTTGACTTTGGTTTATTTGCCAACCAGACGCCATTTTGAAATTATTTGACAGGTCGTTGGATTGCCTAATAGCCGAAAAACACGATTCGTATGCCAAAATAATTGTAAAAAACTATTTCAATCATTTGTAAACAAATAAGAAAAGTGAGGTTGTGTTTCAATGTTTCACCTCCAGGGTCGGTCATCTGACAGTTCTTGCACGCAACCCATGCCAGCCAACCGATATTTTTGGTGGTTGATATTCTAACATTGCATTTCAAGCAGTTGACCTTGAAATTGAAAAAAAATCGTTTGACAGAACCTTAGCCTGCTTGGGTAAATACGTCCGGCCCGTTTAATACATTCAGTCTGGCCCTAGAAAGGATCATAGATTTCAAAAAGTATATAAAAAACAGGTGTTCCATTCGAAAAATCGAAGCTGTCTTTTGTCACGCTTTTAGGGATCAGTAAATAAAACTTTTGATAAGGGCCGTGTGAAGGCCTTATTGCGGCATTTACCTTCTCCATATGATTCTTGATGAAAAATAACGTTCGATGGATATACCTATGCATACAGAAAAAACAATATGAATCATGGTAGCTGCATCATACAGATATCATTACAGGCTATTATTCATACATTATAATCTATCAACAATGCCCAGTTTGTATATCTACATGATCTCAATATATAGGGTGTTTCATAATACATGCGCAGGACTTAGGATGTGATAGCTCATTCAAAAATATGAAAAAGGTTTTTATTTACTTACCCTTTAAAAAGCACCATTTTCCAGATACAGGGTGTTGTTTATAAATAAAATTATTTGTCTGCGTATATCTCTGGAACCGTTTATCGCTCAGAAAACAGCTTTTGTAACCATTTTCCACTCATAATAGGCTATGTTATGTGCGATTTTTTTTTGTTTCAATTCATAGTTCATGAAGATTTCGTGAGAGTAGTGGGTGTTTTCTCCCCAACTTCTACGCCACTGAAAAAATTACAGTTTTGAGCCTCCCATTCGAACCGTCAATGTTTTCTACACAAGAAGGTACCTACTCTTGATCATAAGCTCTAAAGTTGACCACTTTCGAAAAAAATCAACTTTTATTTCGAAAAACATGGTTGATATTTTGAAGTATTTCCTTTATTTACTAATTCAAAAAAATTTATTTGAACGTTAAAATAAGTAACATCAAATGTTAACTTCATAATTGAAAAATTAAAAAAAAGGGCAACTTTAGAGCTCATGACCGTTTTCTGTGTAGAAAACATT